AACCCCAACTCCTAAATTCTGTGAGGGAGGGGTAGCTACCTGTGTCTAATGTCTTTTCAAGTCTAGCTTGCTTTCAGAGAAAGCCAGAAAAAAAGAAAAGAAAAGAAAAGAAAAGAAAAGAAAAGAAAAGAAACCAGCCATGATGGGGGTTGGATTTTTGCCTGATCTTTGACTAATTGCAGTAATTTGAAGACTTTCTCCTGGTAGCAGCTGGGCAGGGAGACTCAGACACTCCGCCTTTTGTACTGTGGGAGATAAGGCAGGTCAGACTGGCAGGATCCCAGCCGGACAGGACCGGTCCCATCCACCCAGCTTGCAGAATCAGATGCCTATTTTACTGGCAAGCCTTTGTCCCAGGTCTGGTTATCTTAATTGCACCTTGAGGCACCGCTGATCAGTGGGCATGCAGCCATTATACAAGCCTTGGGAACCTATCAGCGGCGCCCACACATTAACTCTAGTAGGTGCCCTGTGGTCACAGGGTTAACTATACTTGTCTGTCACATGCTTGCTTGTCACATGTAAAGCCCAGTGGGAGCTGGACCCTCAATAACAGGCAGGGAGGGGAACAACCATGGGCCTAGCTCTTGACAGTAACCCAGGGTAAGCAATGGGGAGGCTTTGACCAGAGACAGCTTCTGCTAGGGTCTTGGTGCTGATGGAAGCTTTACCTATGAGGGCAAGAGCAGACTTGGCTTAGGAAAGAATTATGCAGATTTCACTATCCAAGAGCCTGGAAATTAAATGGGCTAAAACACAGAGCTGTGTGGGAGGGCAGCTGGTGACATGGAAAGACTCATCATAGGCTTTAGTGGGCAAAGGACAGTGAAGAAGGAGGACACAAGAACAGTGGTCAAAATTCGGATTCATAAATAAAATATGCCAGATCTTTTGTATGCCTCATGGGAATTTAAAAAGTGAGGCAGGTATCATGGGGCTGGAGAGATGGCTCAGTAGTAAAGAGTACTTACTGCTCAGTTGCAAGGACCTGAGTTCAGATCCCAACACACACACGAACAACTCACAACTGTAATGGTTTAAGTAAAATGCTGCAGGTCCCCAAGTGGCGGCAGTGGGCTGCAGGTTCCGAGAGCAGCTAGTCCCAGGCAGGGAGGTGCATGGTGGGTGAGAAATGTTGATGGGGCAGACAGTCCCACGAGGAGAGACAGATGGATGGGCACATCACAAGACCAGGCTGCAGGTCTCCAAAGGTGGCTGGTGCCAGGCAGGGAGCTACCCAGCAGGTCAGAGACAGAGATATGGATAGGCACACCATGCAGAGTGAGGTTGGATATTTATTTAGTGGGTTATGGAGGGGAAAGTAGAGAAGGGGAGGAGAGCACAGAGAGAGAAAGAGAGAGAGATATAAATGGAGGGGGGGAGGGAACCACAGCAGCAGCTACCTCTCTGGGAGAGAGACAGAAAAGGGAGGGACTCAGACTGGAAGCTAAAGATCAGCTTGCCTCAGTGAAAGGGGGTGGGCGTGACTTGTTTCTTAAAGGGACAGGACAGATCATTACAAAAATGCCAGCTCCAATTGGATGTGATACCCTCCTCTGGTCTCTGCAGGTACCACATATACATGGTGTTATGGTAAAAGTAAAACAGTGCCATTCCCGAAGTGGCCCATGAGGGCCAGAGGGTCCTAGGCAGGTGAGAGATAAAGATGGACAGCCAGATAAGCACACCATACAGAGAAAGTGAGTATTTATTTAGTGGGTTATGGAGGGGAAAGGGAAAGGGGGAAGGGGAGAAGGGAAAAGAGGAGAGAGAGAGAGAGAGAGAGAGAGAGAGAGAGAGAGAGAGAGAGAGACTGAGAGCAAGTAAGGAGCTCAGGCTGGAAGTAGAAGGAAGATCCACTTGTCGGGGGGTGGGGAGTGGGCGGGGCTTGTCTCTTAAAGAGACAGGACAGACCATGACACATAGGATCATAGAGACACATACACATGCAAGAGATAGAAATATTTAAAACAAAACAAAAACAAAAATAAAAACAAGGTTTAGCCAGGTGTGGTGGCTCACCCAACCAATCCTAGCACTCAGGAGGCAAAGACAAGCAGATCTCTGTAGGTTCAAGACCATTCTGATCTATCTAGAGAGTTCTAGACCAGCTGGGGCTACATGGCTACATAGACCCTGTCTCAATAACAAAACAAAAGCAAGGCAACTCTCAGTGATGCATATATTATATATTACCACCTTATCCAGGCTGTGCTGTGGTGGTTCTATCTCCCAGTATGCTTTGGGGCTGCCTCTGCGTGTTCAGCACCTGTGGGAGTTCAACTAGAGACAGGTTGCTTGTGTGTTTTTTCCTTAACCATCCCCCACCCCCGGGGAAGGGAGGGAGGGGGATAGGGACAAAGAATAGGCGCTTTGTTTCTGGATGACTTTGGGGGCAGAACTGGAAGCCACATGAATTCAAGAAGAGATGAAAAGGTGCCACAGCTGTTTCAAGATGGTCTCCCACAGGCTGAGCTGCCTCCCTCATGCAGGGCTTCTTTCTGCTTTAGACTTACAAATTCTATAGCATCTTGGTCCTGAAAGGGATTAATGGGCCAGTTGGCCCAGACACATCAATTCCATCTCAGTGAAAGCACATCACTTGCCTGGTGTCTCAGAACCAGCTAGTCACAGCCGTATGGAAACCTTGACTTCTTCCCTCCGTGGGGGGCTCTGTCCATCTCCTCAAATGGGCCTTCAAATTGCTCATTTCCCAGATCCCTCCAGTGAGCCTTTGTTGCTGGCCTTTTGGATCCAAGCCAGTGCTTTGAGGACAGCAGGAGAAGCAAGCACCCAGGGAGCAGCAGAATGGACCTCCAGTTAATTTATCCTCTGCTGCAGGGACCGAATGGAAACAAAGCATTGACGAGAGGAGTGCGCCCCGGACCTGTCTAAAGCGGCCCTGAATACTAACCAGGGAGCTTAGATGGAGCTAAAAATAACTGGCTAATCACCACCAGGAAGAACTAACAAGGGCTCGGAAGAATGGGAAATGTCTTAATATTCCTCTCCCCAGCAGCTGGCCTCCAGCTGGGGATACAGGCACCTCCTGGCTGGTAATTAGGCCCCAGCCGCTGGAGTGCCTGGAAGAACAGGGTGGCCCCACCCTGGCCTTCAGGGGGGTTAGTGACAGGGTTATTCGGGGTGAGGTGAGGTGGAAAACAGTGAACTAGAGGAAATGTGCCACCCAGGAAGCGGCCTGAGTAATGGAGAGGTTAGCATCGTTCGTGGTTAACAACCTATCTCTGAGAAGGTAAAATCCTTCCTCTGAAGAAAGTGTTGTATTTTGTTCTGCTCAGCCACACCCTGCCCTATTGAAAGTCGTTCCTGTCCCCTAACACAGCTGCCCCCTTCTACAAAGCCTTACTGGGGTCCACACCGGAGGACTGTTTGAAAATGAAGTCTCTCCTTTGGAGAGGCCCAGGGCACAACCCCAGTAAATTAGATCAGAGAAGGATGTGCTACCAGGTTCTTGAGTAGTGTGACCAGAGAGAGTCCCTGGTGTAGTGGTATATTGTTTGTATTTTGATAAATAAATCTTGCCTGAAGACCAGAGGCAAAGCTAAAGCCATTAGAGGTCAAGCAATGGTGTCACACATCTTTAATCCCAGGATTTGGGAGACAGAATCAGATGGGTCTCTGTGAGTTCAAGACCACCCCGGGCTACACAAACTCAAAGTAGAAACAAATCCGGGTGATGGTGGCTCTCACCTTTAATCCCAGTCCTAGGGAATCGCCATGTACCTTTAATCCCAGACTGGAGGACATACAAAATGGGAGGAGAAAGTGTCTTAGTGCTTAGTGTGCAGTCACCCAGCGTTGGTAGAGGTAAGATTTTTCTAGTGGCTTGAGGGCTTTGCTCTTTTGGTTTTCAGGTGAAACCCCAATTTCTGTCCCTGGGTTTTTATTGTCCGTGCTACACCCCGTGATCCGAAAGAGTAGGGCTAAAGGGTTGGTATTAGGAGCTGGGGTAGCTAGTTCAAGAGAAGTGGGTGTTTGAGTTTGGTTGCTTTTGCTTCTTGTTTTGTTTTTGTTCAGGGTGAGGCGGCCCTTACTTCTTTATGAACTGATGTATGAATAATGGGGAAGTACTTGGTAGCACTCCCCTAAGCATCCATGCCCTGGTTGTCCTGGGCCTCAGGCTCAGGATTCCTCCCTTGGGGCTGTGGGCTTGCTAAAGGCCAGGCAGGTGGGAAAGAAAGAGAGCTGGAGAGAAATGAGAATTCAGAGACGACTATGGACCCTGGATGCAGGTGGTAGGGACCCTGGATGCAGGTGATAGGGACCCTGGATGCAGGTGGCAGGGGCCCTGGATGCAGGTGGCAGGG